ATAGCCGTATATATAGTTTTGAGTAAATCGAATGAAAATATTTTATTAAGATTATTGAATAACCTACTAAAAACATTGAGAACATTAATTGAAAGCATGGAGTGATACTGATATAATGGGGTTGATTGATCAGATTTGACATTATTGGTAAGATTCATTTTAAGTATTTAAATTCTAATGATGAGGCAATGGTGATATATATAAAAAAATGTGTCCCCACACATTTAGAGGATATCCCATGGCTGACGTAGGTAGACACTGTGGCATTGTGGGGGCCTATCAGGACAATCTGACACCTCATGTCTAGCTAGCCAGCTCCCATAGACAGGGAGAAAAGTGTTTCTCACGCGGATGAAATACGACAACCTTCCTAAAAATCAACCTGCTGGCACAAGGCTCACACAAATAAATCCGACCCCATTTTTTCTAGTCTGATTGGGTGAGCGAAGCAAATCGCCCGACCCCAAAAAATTTGTCGGAGCTTTCCGCCTGACATGTACGAGGATAAACTCTCAGCAAATAGTCAAATCGACAACTTACACAGGACCACCAACGAACAACCGCCCGACCAAAATGAAGCCGGACGGGAAACTGTCATCAACAGTCGACTTTGTCTAGTTGGGCATCTTCTTAGGGACTCGGCTCTGTCCGGCCGGGAGCTCTCCAGGGTCTCAGACATGTCCGACCGGTAGTCTTCAGGGCTCCCAGCCTAATATTCATGAATTGACTAAGATACCCCCACTGTATCTACGTATATTAGGGGTACATTATATAATTGTACATACTCTCATCCTATAAATAAAGGTTCATTTCATGAATAACTTTTATATGAATTTACTATTCTATACTGTGTTTTTGCTCTCCTCACTATCTCCTCCCTTTGTGCTCTATTCCTTAGACGTGTTTCTCGAATCATTTTGGATTCAACAGGTGAATTAATAATAGCAATTTTTTTCTAGGGGCAGTTACATACATAACACACAATTTTTTATGTATTTACATATCTCTCACCTTACATATCTCTCACCTA